TTGTTGGTGGTACACGACACAATTAATATAAAAATCATAAAATTTGTAATAAACCCTATCTGAACTTTCTACGTACGTACTACTCTCCTCACTTATAGTCTCGCCAGTATTTTCTTCCCTTCAAATTGACAAAAATGTTACCACATATTCTTCAATCATGCGAGAAAAACAATCGCATCCTTCCCATTAAAGGGTAAGTGTTTAAAATATGAATTTTTGTCACCAGGTTTTAGTTAGCCCTGGGTTTGTAGTTATAAAACATTAAACAAAAAGTGGTACGTGAGTCCGAAACATTTGAGAATCACTGGACTAGAGGAAATGTTTTCTAACTTTTGTCTGACAAATAGTGGGATTTCACCATATAACACATCCACGGCTCCACAGTGCGGAGCGTGTTTTGTTGCAACGGGACACGAACCTCGAATCTCCTGATTCAAAGTAAGTGCACCCTACTCAATAAGCCATGCCCAATATTATAAAACATTAATGCATTGAAATCTGATGTGAACTAAATCTGACGTTTCAAACGAGATAATCGTCCTGATTTTGTCAACTTTAACAAGATAATTATCCTACTTATGTTTAATTTAACGAAATAATCATCCTACTTATGTTTAATTTAACGAAATGATCGTCTTACTTTTGTCTACTTTAACAAGATAATTATCCTAGTTCTGTTTAATTTAACGAAATAACCATCCTACTTATGTTTAATTTAACGAAATGATCGTCTTACTTTTGTCTACTTTAACGAGATAATTATCCTAGTTCTGTTTAATTTAACGAAATAACCATCCTACTTATGTTTAATTTAACGAAATGATCGTCTTACTTTTGTCTACTTTAACGAGATAATTATCCTACTTCTGTTTAATTTAACGAAATAACCATCCTACTTATGTTTAATTTAACGAAATGATCGTCTTACTTTTGTCTACTTTAACGATATAATCATCCTATTTGTTATATATTTCCATATGTAACCTACAATCATCCATATACATACTGTACAAGTAGTTAATGATGTTGCCACTAGATTGCTAATTAACCATTTCAATTAAAACGTATGAAGTTAAGTGTTCTGATTTATTTGATTTTAAACCAGTCAAAACCGATTGTTCAACGATAGAGATTTTTTGCATTCGTACACAATTACTGAATGCAACTTTAGGCTGTGCAACATTCGTTTTTATATCTGGTGTTGATAAAAAAAATGTATTGAAACATGCAAATAATTGTGGTTTGATCAGAATTATGTGGCAACGAATTTTGTAATGAGTACACATGATATCCAATTAATAAAAAGAAGCTCAGGTTAAATCACTTTCTCATAAAGTTCGAGCTTAAGTGACAAGTTTGAAATTTAAGTATAACTTATGCCGCAACAACCTTAACTATTTCTGAGCCCTTCACTGTTGTTATCGCGTCCTCTAAGATGGCAAAATCAACGCGTAATTCTACATGGAACATTTATTTGCGAACGGGTATATTTATAATCGAAAACCCAACAGACGAGATGTCATAAAGTTCTTACTTTTTTTCACAATAACAAATAGATTTTACTGATGGTTCCTGTTAGAACACAAACAGACGTCTAATTAGTCGCTTGAATGCATCTCGGAAATCTCTTCGAAAGACAGCGTAGATGAAGGGGTTGGTAGCGGACGCAGTGAATTGTATTGCAGTAGAAAACAAACTCAGCCAAGGAGGAACTACATGGACACCAACAAGCACCTTTAACAGCTTTGTCAGACAGAACGGTGTCATACACACAAAAAATACGAGTATAATCACTAAAATGCTCTTGACGATTTTCTGGTTTATAAATCCCGTAGAATGTCGTCTGCCTTGAGAACTAGAGATCTTTCTCGTTCCCAACATTCTCTCTATCGTTGACGTTTCGGATTGTAAGAGTTTCGGTTGTATAACGTTATGTTTTAGCTTTAGAGCAGAACGAAGTATGGAGAAGTTGTAAAACACGATAATTCCAGCTGGTAAAATAAAACAACACATAAAAGCAGCAGTTACATAAGTAATAATGCCCACATCGACTTCCCATTTAATAGTGCACACAGCTTCAGAGTAGTCGAAATGTACCCAGTCATTTAAACTAGGAACAATAGCAAACACTAAACCGTGTATCCAGACATAGCTTATCATAAGTCCGATACGACAGTTAGTCATTGTTTGGACATATCGAAGGGGGTTTTTCATTGCCACGCCTCTATCTATGGTGATCAAAGAGAGGCTTAACATAGAGACGATGATGAAGCAATAGTTGAAGCTACAGTGGAGCTTACAGAGGGCGTCTCCCAGAATCCACCTTTCATAAAACAGCGCCGTTACGCTAGGAATCATCACCAGGAGACTTGTTAGAAGATCTGTTACCGCTAAGTTTACTATTAGCAGATTGGAAACCTGGAACGAAAAGAAAATTGATGAGTGTATTTCAAGTATTATTCATAGGTGTAAAACTTTATAACCTAAAGAAAACAAGTCATAAATTTAATTTACTGCTTCGTGTGAAGGCCTCACACCTCGGTGTAATAGCTTTCTACATCATTTAGGGTTAAATGATTTTAAATAAGAAAGAAAAAGTAGCTACAGATCTTACCACCCTCTAAATAAAGAACAAGCACACGCACCAGACACGTGGTATATTGAATATTAGCAAATTCACAAATCTATCCATCTGATACAGCAAATATTTAGGGTGAGAAAAAAAAAACGGAATAAACTTTTTAAATTTATTTGATAAAAATATATTAACAAACTCATTTTCAAAAGCATTAAAATACCGTGAGTCGCATTTGCACATCTATTTTGTACAAAATCTTGAAACATATCTATCATTATATTTGTAACTCACTTGAAGCCGAAGTTCGTTGTCCATCCTTGTTATTGCGATTACAGCCGAATTACCGAGTAGAGAGATGCAAGTTATGACAAGTGTGAAGCCAACTGCCACTGCAGAAACGGTGAAGTCTTTGGTTCCTTCTTTGTTTGTCAGGCTCGTGTTTGAAATCTCCATTGTAATTGTATGGTAAATCTTACGTAGGACATATCTCGCTCTTCTTTACACCTTCGATGGCTATTACACAAAAATATATATATATATAAAGTGAATAGATAAGTTATTTGTTTTTTTTCTAAAATTTATACTTAACAAGCTAAGTTACTGACTTCAAATTCGATGACGAGGAACCCACTTTGAGACTAATAATGGCTGGAGACGGCTTAAATGGGTAATGAAGAAAAACTTTAATATTAAGTTTTTCTTCATTACCCAT